TCCTTCTCTTTAAGGGAGGAGGTTTCTGCCTTTTCCTGTTCTGCAGTTATCACTTGTGCTGTGACATTTCTTTGACTCTTTGAATCCAGGACCTAAAGGATGCTGGAGATGGGAGCCCATGCCAGGAAACCAGTGATAAGGAGCCCAACTTGGGACCTGAACCTTTAGGGAGATCTCAGTTATCGTCTGTGGTAGGCAGATTAACAGTCCACAAAGATGTCCATGTCCAGGGCAAGAAAAACAGGTAGATTGTGCCAAATAACATAGATAGTACAACTGAAAATATAACTACACTGCATGAATGATACAGGGAGGAGCAATGTGGAGATAAGATAATGCAAGTAAGCCAAAATCCTCATCTTCCAGGGGAAACAATTAAACATTAACTAAAAGTTTAAATAACACCTTTCATAAGCATATTATTCAGTTATGAAGGCAGTTGGCAGAGGAGGACAAAAAGGCTGTTAGAGTGATTTCTTCCAGAGAAGAAGAATAAGGGGCAGGGTAGTGAAGGGAAGGAGTAGGAAACTCCTGCTTTTCACAATACAGTTCCACACTCTTGTTTTCTTAAGACATCCTTGCTTGTTATGGTATTAAAATTAAAAAAAAAAAACAACTAAACCCAGTTTTCTGACAAGGACTCATTTAAAAAACAATGTTTTTAATGTTTTTATTTAATTGGGGGAAAAAGTTCATTTTATTGCAAACACTAAGTGAGCCTAATAATATCCACCTGAAGTCCTGCATGTTTAGGAAGACAGCTCTCTCCTCAGGTAAAAATGATTGCGATTTTTTTAAAAAGCCAAATACAAAAGTATTCATTTTTTATTGCTGCGTAGCAAATTACCACAAGTGTATCAGCTTAAAACACAAATTCATTACCTCATGGTTCTGTAGGTGGAAGTACAGGCACAGCATGGCGATTCTCTGCCCACGGTCTTACGAGGCGGAAATCAAGGTGTCAGCCAGGCCTCACTTCTACCTGGTGGCTCTGGGGAAGAATCTCTTTTCAAGTTCCTTCAAGTTGTTTGCTGAATTAAGTGATGGTGGTTATATGACTTAAGTCCCTACTCCCTTGCTGGCAAAGGCCTTCTTCCAAATGATGGAGGATCCTCACATCTTTACCATGTGGTCTCTTACATCTTCAAAGATAACAAGGGAGAATCTCCCTCCTACCGGAGACCCCTCACTCTTAGAATCTCTTTAGACAGCTAGAGCCCAGTCCCTTTTAAAGACTCACCTGATTAGTTCAGGACCACCAAGCTAGTCTCCCTATTTTAAGGTAAGCTGCTTTGAGACCGTCATTACCTCAGCAAAAACTCTCCACACCCGTTACCTAGTTACCTAGATTAGCATTGATTGCATAATTGGGAGGAGGTGTGTGTATACCAGAGAAGTGGGACTCTTGGGGTCCATTTCAGAATTGTTTCCCACAGCAAGCAAATCAAGATTATAATCTCTCCAATAGGAAATAACAGGCTATTTATGTACTGTAAGTCAAAAATCTTTAAGTATATAAATGCAATGCTGAATTTTTTTCCCAGCATTATTGAGATCTAGTTGACAAACATTGTAAATATTTAGGGTGTGTGCTAAAACACTCACCTCAAAAAGCCTCAGCAAAAAACTCTTCACACCTGTTACCTAGGTACCTACATTAGCACTTGATTGCATAATCAGGAGGAGGTGTGTGTATACCAGAGACGTGGGACTCGGGGTCCATTTCAGAATTGTTTCCTACAGCAAGCAAATCAAGATTATAATCTCTCCAACAGGAATTAATAGGTTATTTACATACTGCAGGTCAAAAATCTTTAAGTATATAAATGCAATGCTGAATTTTTTTCCCAGCATTACTGAGATATAATTGACAAACAGTGCAAATATTTAGAGTGTGTGCTATTTTGATATATATATACTGTAAAATAATTGCCACAGCAAAACTAATTAACATATCCATCATCTCACAGGTGTGTGTGTGTGTGTGTGTGTGTGCATGCGTGCGAACATTTAAGAACTACTCTCTTAACATACATCAAGTAGCCTGTCTTCCAAAAATAAGTTTTCGTGATAAGATGGTCTGCTGTTCAGGTACAATAAGTAAAACTTAGGAACAACTTAAAGGAAAGCAACCTAAGAATTCTAAAAGCCAACTCCACATATTTAAAAAATTCAGTTCAATCATATCTAGGTAATTGATAAATCTCATTATGGTAGCCTAACGATTTTTAAAATATTTTAAATCAAAGTTTACATGGTGAAAGAATGCTCCGTGGAGGACTAAGGAAGCACTAATCAATTTAATGGTGTGGGAAAATTAATTCAAAATCAATAATGAAAATGACTAATTTTCATGTATTTTAGCCATTCCCCCAAATTAGTTAGGAAATGTGCTTTAAAGAAAATCATCAAGGAAGAAATAAGCCTAGATTGAAGGTTATAGCCAGAGAAAGTTATTAGCAGTAAGAGTATATCCCATTAGCTTTGCCAATCAAAATTATTGTTACAGAAACTGTAAAATGCATACTCTTTTGTATATATTTATTGTTCCTCTCTCTTTTCTTCAATAATCCTTAGCATTATCACTTAAGGTAAGAAAGTACAGGACAGGGAATTAAGTAACCTCAGTTCTCATCCTGCTGTGCAACTTTGGAAAAGTCATTTATTTCTGGGCCTCACTCGCTGTGTCTGTAAAATAAAACCATTTTAGAATTTGGGAGCTGAAATGGACCTTTGAGATCATGATCTTTATAGTTCCACCCAGCTCTAAAGTCATATTTACACAAACATCAACTTTTAGAGAGGGAATATATTCCACGTTGAGAAACGTATTACTTTAATGGATATAACAGGGCATTTCGTTTCCTGATTGGAATAAGTTATCACTTTAATTTTAGAGTAAGTCTCTACAGATGTTTTAGCATTTCAATAAGTGAATCCTCTTGCTCCTGCTCCCATCCCCTTGCAATTCAACACACGGGACTACTCTTTTGCTTATGTAGTCAAGTTCTCTATTTATATCAGTTGAAAGAATTTCATTATCCTACAAAGTTACAGATGCTTCCAATTTCAAGGCCTAATGCATTAAAATCCATTTGGTTTTTTTGTAATAATAAAGCCTTGTCAGTGACCTGCTTGGCACGAAGTACAAACCAAGAGAGAAGGCAGAATTCACAGTTATTCTGAACTTCAGTATTATATTGACATTCCTGGACCTCTGATATGATTTAATTCAATTCACATTTACTGAGAATTGTATCTGATTTTGTGCCACGTCATAAGTTTCCTAGGGGCATATTTTTATCCTCAGCACAAAACACAATGTTTAGAACCTAGTGGGTCTTCAAAATGTTTCCAAAATGACTATATATAATGCACAATCTCTGCTTTCAGGGAGTTTATAATATCGCAGGAAAGATGGAAATACGACAAACGACAAAATGAAATAAAATACTAAACCACATGGTGGTATCTGCGTTATACAGAGTGGCCACCAGAGATGTTAATGTTGTAATCCCTGGAACCTGTGAATATGTTGTTACATAGCAAAAGAAAACTTAGGTTGCAGGTGGAATAACGTTCTGATCAGCTGATCTTAAATCACATGAGCTCTTAAGTCAGAATGAGGAAGACAGAAGAACGAGTCAGACAGATGTGACATCAGAAGAACCAGATACACCTTTGTTGGCTTAGAACAGGTAGAAATGGGGCCAAAAAAGCAAAAAAAAAAAAAAAAAAAAAAAAAAAAAGGTGAATGCTAGAAGCACAGAGCAGCAAGGAAATAGCTACTTCCGTACAGCCTCCAGAAAAGAACACAGCCCTACTCATACCTTGATCTTAGCCCACTGAGACTCATTTCAGAATTCTAACCAAAGAACTGCGAGAATACACTTGTGTTGTTTTACGACACTGTTTGTGGTATAATAGTTTGTTATGGAAGCCAGGGGAAACTAATCTGGCGTCACATAATTGGTTTCATCTGTGAAAAGGCTTCACTGTGCTGGTATTTCACTGAGCCCTGAAAGGTTTGGGGGTGCAGTGGAGGAAAACAGTTGTTTGTGAGTTAAATTCTCGCTATTTCAAATATGGTCCTTTCTGAACAGCACTAGTGGAAACTGTCCACTTTTTGGAAATGTGAACTGTCACCTCAGGCTGCACAAGAGACCTACTGAGTCAGCATCAGCATTTTAACAAGATCCTCAACTAATCTGCATTCATATTAAAGTTTGAGAAGCACTAGGTTAAATTTAATAAAAACTTTTTAAAGGTGCAGAAAGCTTTGATTCCTCTTTTTTGACACATAAATGGTTGGAAAAAAGTATTTAAACATACCAGGTTGCTATTTGTTACCACTGCCAATAGGAAAAATAAAAAAATCTACTGCTCTTAATGAAGAAGGCCTTTCACCCTTTAGTAAAATCCATCTGCCCCTATCTACAAAGGATTTTCCTTCTTTGAAAACTCCCATGAGTTGAAAGATTATAAATGTCAAGATTTTATTACCTTAAATAAATATTAGAATCCTGGAAGAATACTCATAGAGCCATCTTGTGGAGGACAAAATAATTTCAATCACAATACATTTTAATTACTTTAATATAAAAGACAGCAATGTTCCACATTTCACATATTTGAAAAACATTTCAAAACCCTCTAATAAGTATTTAACGAAAAAAATGTATTGAAGAGTAACAATGACCACAAAATGAATACTACCAGATCATTACTGATACTTTTTGCATTACAATATTTGGAGAGCAGGTGGAGAAAATATAGAACAGAACATGAACATTTTAAAACGATATTCTACCCAGGCTTTATCTTTTTGCTAAATCTTGTGGACACTAGAAGACATATTCAAGATGGTTGTAAAGATACTCAGCTAAAGTCATACTTCAAAGATGTTAAAACAGCCCTCCACCAATAATATGGCATTGCAAACCCTTCTATCCCATCTGTTTACAAAATTAAACAATGATCCAATGAGCTTTTCTCGGTAAAAGATTCAGTTAAAAGACAGAACATTAACAGAGATTTAGTAACAGTGACCAAAATAAGAAATCGGTGTAATCAAGAAAGATATGTAATTATTCAACATCATTTGGTATGGATACATCAATGCAACTCAGTAAGTGGACAACATTGTGAGGGGAGTGGGTAACATGATCCAGAGTCCTGTGGGTAAATTCATATATAATAATCTTATTCCAATCAATCTGTAAAGTAAAAGCACTACATCCACATTAACAATATAACATCTTACAGTAATATAAAAGTGAAATCATTATTGGTACTTCATTTTCTTTAAAGTGCACAATTTAAGAAAACTTCACAAGAGTCTGCACTTTTGAAAGATACGATCAGAGTACACAGTATAGACAAAACAGGCACCTTCATTATAATTTTTTTAATAAATAAAAGCACATTAACAAAAAAGGAAGGTAAGCAGCACCAGAAGCCTTTGACATTTGTAACTAAATGCTGGTACCCAAATGGTCTAGCTGGTTAAGTTTCACTAAGAGGCGCAAAAAAGGAGCCGTTTTTGACTTAACATTTTAATTCTAGTAGAGATAAGAAGAGCTTGTGTGGGCTTGCAGTCCTTCACCTGACTGTCCTTCACCAGTGGGTAGCGTACCAGTTCTTCAAATGTCCTACACTTTGGAAAGCAGACCCGACTCTGGAGCACTCGCCTTAATTAGATTCTGAATTTCCTTGAATTTTGGATGGTCCTTATCAGCTACCAGCTGAAGCAGAACAGCCTCACTCGTGGTCACTATGATCCCGGTTCGAGCAAGACGCTTGAACAAAAAGATAAAGGCAAATCAAGAAATGAGCATGAGAATGAACACTATTTCGAAAGAGTAAGACTATGCTGGGATGCAATAATTAGTGTCCTTTACTGAAACCATGATTCCCAGCCATACCGTCAAGTTCAGTGATGGGGATGGATTTCAAGACGGGCCATACCACAAAGTCAATATTATTATTCTTAATATTAGTAAAATAGACTAGGAATGACTAAGACGGAAAAGGTAGCCAATGTTATGACATATGTGTGCCTAGAACAGGAGAGTCATCAAGGCCAATGACTGTAAAACATGAGATAAGAGAAAGAAAAAGAATGGTTGTTACTATATGCCTATCGTTGAACATCTGGACATTTAGTTGTTGCTATTTCCTGAACACTCCTGGCAGGTTTGTGCTTCATCTCTTATTCATTGACTCAAATGAGGGCTGCTTGTGACTTCTAAATTTATTAAACTTTTATTTCTATTTCTACTACTGAGATTTTTTAAAAAGTGCCTCTGTCCACTTTTCCCCCTCTGTAGTTTAACTGATAATACATGAGATCGTGATGCATATTAATACTTATGCCTGGAACTCCTGGCATTTTGTAGCTCTTTATGTTTTAAAAATGGAGGGGTGTGTAATGTTTCTAAAGCTCCATTAGCTGTGTTATGGATATAATTGTAGCTGCTAGAACATTACATTAGTAATTTACTATCAAATTTCATATAAATTGTCAATTGGATTAAAACTACTATAAGAATTAAAATGATGGTTCTTAATTTCTTTTTACTGCACCCAAACATCTGACCTATGGCATATGAGTCCTTCCTATAATCAAGAGTTCCCTTGTTTAGAAATGACCGGTACTAAAAGAGCTCTCTCTGTGTGAGGAGACCCCCTGTATGATAAGGGAACCATCACTACTGCTGCCATCATAAACATTTTAGTACCATTAAACAAGAGTGTAAAATTCAAGGTTGTGTAAAGTTTCACTGACAGGTCAAGAATGTCCTTGCCAAACTGCCCCAGTGTAATCATAATACTAAGGACAGAAATCTCAAGGAGGAAAAGAGAGAGAAGGGAGAAGAGAAAGGGGAAGGAAGGCAGGGAAGAGAGCAAAGAACAGAAAGTCGGAGGGGACAGGGTAAAGGGAGGAAAGGAGGAAAATAGAAGAATTCTATAGCACAGATACATTCTCTGGATTTATGTGTTATCAGAAATCCCAGGGAAAAAAAGACACAAACTGTTATCACAAAAGCATATATGTAAAACGCATGAAAGAGGAAGTGGTTGGAAACAATTCCTAGGCAAGTCAGAGGAAAAAACCCAGGAAGCACTTGCATAGCTAAATATACTTGCAGAGTGTAAGTCAATCTTCCTTCACTGGCTGTACATCAGCAGACTGAACCTTTCCACTGGCAGACTCTTTATTTTTATCCGTAATGAAGTAGAAGGGAGTATAAGCCACAACCTACTTGTCAGAAAGCAAGCTTGGACCTCAACGACCAGTACAGAAAAGGGTGCAGGGCAGCTAACCAGAACTTGGCAGTTATTTTTAAAAACAAAACAAAACAAAACAAAAACAGCAGGTATTTATGGGGGTTGGGGGCCTGGGGTAAGGCCGTATGCTTAGACACATACTGGGGTGAGTTATCTCTGAGGATTTTTTTAAGACTTCTGGAAGCCCTAATTTCCTCCTCCTTGCTTTACAGTCAGCTGATTAATCATATCAAAACCATTCAAAACTATGAAAAGATCATGTGCTTGCTTCAGACAGAAAGGCAGATAATAAATGTGATAAGCTGCAGTCCAGTTGTGTGAAAACAGCACTGAATGTCTATTCATTCATGTCCAGCTCTCCCCATCACCAGCTGCCTGCCCTGCCTAGCCCTGCCTTCCTTACTGCTCACTGTTGAATCAATGGACTTGCAATGATTCAGTTTGAATCAAGGACTAAATCACAGGCTTTCAATGTCTGTGAAAGTGCTTTACACTATGTACTCCAATGTGCCAATAAAGGTTAGTTCTCAACAATCTCCCCAGTTCCTTAGTGAGGCAGGAAGGAGAGAAATATGTTCCCAGGTCTAAGGAAGGAATCTGGTGACCCTGGAAGAAGCCTGTCTACAATGTTCAGTCTTCCCTAGTGCTCTACTGACCTGAGCCTGGTCCATTACAGCCTAACAAGCCTCAGTGATGCTGAGACTCAGGTGACCATGGCAGGGGCAGAGTGGGAAATGTACATCACAGAAACACCTTTTAGGAAAGTGGAACCCATACTCTATTACTTTGTTTCAAGATTGAAATGTGGCCAACACTGACTAGGTTTTAAAATAATCTAGCCAGGAACCCGTGTTAGAGAAAGGTGTAGCTTAGCAAACGCAATGGTTTTCAATCTGGCTCTTAGCCGTTCCCACAGTGCCTGCCCTTTCCCAACCAAAGAAGGCGCCTAAGCAGAGAAAGAACAGCAGGAGCTTTCCAAACATACCTAGCAGGTCCCTGCCCACCACCCTGACAGTGCTGGTCCCAAGTCCACTTTCTCTCCTGGCTTAAAATGGAGCAATTAAAACTCCAGCCATTTAATGCACAAGAATACCTGTGCATTAGACTTCTAAAGTTCTCCCCTTATACTTGCAAAACTAATCCAACTAGGCCAAAGGAAAAGAAGGGTTGCTCTGACCCACAAACCTAAAAAATACACGTGCACTAAGTCATGAAATCCTCAGAGAGGGGGGGCAAAAGACTAAACCCACGAGATTTCCAAGCAACACTAAAACTCCCCATGAGTACAAGGACATCAAGGTCAAGAGAGGATTTTATTCGCTTATTCTTCATGCACTCTGTAATTGTTAATTGAAAGAAGTAATGTCTTTCAGATGACAAATACCCAGAAAACATTTCTTGAATAAAGCACATGCCGCAGACTCTGGTACAGTGAAGTTTCAATAATGCAAACTATGAATCTTAAAATAACCTTAACAGGCAATTCAGCTAGTCTTGGGAATTATCTTAAGTAGTTATGTTCTAAAGGAATAGAGAGGAAGTGAAGTGGACCACAATGGTATTTTAACTTTCACACTTATGGAAACAAACCAGAACACTTAACATTGCCCGCCCCCCGCCCCCGCCCCCGCCCCCCACCTCAATTTTGGGAACAAGGTAAATTGCCTCTGTATCAAATCAAGACTAGGAAGAAAAAAATCTGCAGTAAGGCAGGTCTTCCCTATCAATCACCACCTGACTCATCTATGATCGGTTTTCCCTTTCAGCCTCAACACTTTAACCCCAGGCAACGCTGCTCCTCCAGGTCCTTCTAAATCCACCCCAGAAAACAGATTCTTTCCCTCCCTTCTCAGAACTTCCAAGAGCTAGTCCCTTCTGGGTCTTAGATGCTATATACTTACACATTTCTGGTGACTAACCTCATGAAGACAACAATCAGTAACAACAAAAAAAGCAGCAGCTAACACCTGAATATCGACTGTGTCATGCACTGCCCTAACTGCTATCAATATATTATCTTATTCCATTCTCACAAAAATCCTATGATCTTGTTGGTATTACCATTTCCATTTCACCAATGAGAAATCTGAGGCATACAGATTACACAACTTGTTCAAGGACACAAATTTACAAAACACCAGAACCTGCGTGCAAACCCACATTATCCCCACATTGTGTGGATTCCTAATCTGAAAGATTACAGACTGCCTCTCAAAGAATGGTTCAGATGGGAATTGTTTTTAATCTGAGTCTTGTGCAAAGACAGAATTGCCAATCAAAATTTTGTCATTAAGTTGCCATAACAAAGACATATCTAAGAAAATATGAATGTAGGAAAAAAGTCCTTGGAAAAAAGTCCTTTTTTACAAGCAAGGAAGTTTGCTTTGTGTTTTTCATTTCTTACCTCCAAAGTTCTGGACCTCAGCATTACAATAAAGGTCTATCCACGGTGGCTTAAAGAGCTGCTTGCTGAGGTGGTGAGGACCTGACAGTGAAGTGTTTAAACTCAGGTTACCAGGAAAACTTGAAAAGTAGGAGTTGATTAACTCATGACTGTAAGAATGGATTAAAGGTCTGGCCAGGTGCAGTGGCTCATACCTATAATCCCAGCACTCTGGGAGGCTGAGGCAAGTAGGTCACCTGAGGTCAGGAGTTCGAGACCAGCCTGGCCAACATGGCAAAACCCCAACTCTACTAAAAATACAAAAATTAGCTGGGCGTAGTGGCGGGCACCTGTAATCCCAGCTACTCAGGAGGCTGAGACAGGGAGAATTGCTTGAACCCAGGAAGTGGAGCTTGCAGTTGAGCCGAGATTGCGCCACTGCACTCCAGCCTGGGCAACAGAGCAAGACTCCATCGCTCAAAAAGAAAAAAAAAAAAAAAAGGATCAAAGGTCTTCATTGAGACTGGAAGCAGCAGCAACACTTAGTACCTAACTACCAGAGAATCTAATAGCCTAATGGACTTGAAAATAGCTAAACAAAATAAATAATTTCTATTTGTAATTTCAATATAGGATTCTGCTTCAGCAGTAACAGAGAAGGGAGGGCCAATAAGGACCCTAAAACAACTGCTGTGACCAGCTACCTGCCTGCTTCCCACCACCCTGTGGCCCTGTACTCTTCTCCCTTCTTTCCTCTGATAAGTCCCTCCCCTTTCTCATTTGCTCTACCTTACCACTACCACACACTAGGCTAAAGGGATGAGTTAGCATTCCTACTACAGACAAGGTGGTTCACAGGCCAGACTGTGCATAGGACACTGGAGGGTCTCAACAAAACAAACCCATGTATTTCCCATTCTCAACAAACAGTTAAAGAACTCAGCAATTAAATTCACATGCACATTCCTTTAAAACTATTACAAAATTAGAACTAAATATGAGAGAGAGAGAGATTAAACCACAGTATGGAGTGAGTATTTCCTAGGATTATGTGGTAGTTTGCTTTTTAACAGTCTCGGAAAAGAAAACGCTTGACATCCTATTCTTGGGCAATGTTGACAGAGAATTACAGACTCCCTGATTCCACGGGACATGGTGACACTCTAATGCCAGAGTACCATGAAAACAGTGGATGTGGTGTCCACAGTCAATGACACACCTCCTAGTCCCAGAAATTCAAGTCTGAGGAAATCTAATAGTCATCTCTTAGTATCCACAAGGAATTGGTTCCTGGATGCCACCCCACCCCATGCCAAAATCTACAGATGCTCAAGTCCCTGATATAAAATAGCACAGTATTTGTATATAACCTGTGCACATCCAGTATACATTAAATCATCTCTATATTGCTTATAATACCAATACAATGTAAATGCTATGTAAATAGATGTTATTCTGTACTATCATTCTATTTCATTGTTATGATATTATTTTTATTGCTTTTTATTTCTATTCTATTCTATTTATTCTATTATTTTTATTTCTGATATTTTCTATCTGTGGTTGGTTGAATCCACAGACATAGAACCTGCAGATACAGAAGGTCCACTACATGTTAAACCAGGTTAGGCCTGCTCTGCTCTAGCTTTTGGCTAAATGAGTTAAACCCAGTTGAGCTATTTTTAATTTGCAAACCTCTAAACAGTTTAGGTTAGGCTTCTTGGAATATCTCCTAGTTCATGTATAAAACTAGGGCAAACATATGATGAAAGATGCAAAGGACTTTGTGGCAATGCTAGAAACCTAGATCTAAGGAGAAAATGAGACATAAAATAGGATATGGTGGTAAGGCCTTAAGGGTCAGTCAGTATACAGTTGAAATCAATCAGCCTGATGTTGCCAGACCAAACTCAAATTTAGGAGGTAAACATTTCATTACTGTTAAACATCCAGTATTCTTCTAATTTATTTGGAAACCTTGACAAATGATCTATTTCCAAGCAGGACAATTACCTCGAGGGCAAACATCCTGTCCATCATGCTTCTTGATGAGGTGGCATCAGCAACAATATGAACCTCCACTCCTCGGCCAACTAGCTCCAGGGCAGTTTGTTGGATGCACACATGAGTCTAGTAGGAAAGTACAAAAATTGTATGTAATAACATGATAAACTAACAGTAGCTGACAAATGTACAACAACATGATAAAGCAGACAGAGCACTACAAATCATCTAAGGACCCTGTTCTACATCTAGTTTTGCTTCTAATTAGCTAGATAATCTGGAGCATAGAACAGTATCTCTGGCTTTGGTTTATTCATTTGTAAAATCAGGAACTGAATTAGGCCAATGTTTCTGATACTAAGAACCTTAAACATATTCTTAGAGTTCTACAAGAATTTGTTAAAGATTTTGCTTCACGTGGTCTGGATGACCTTCACATAGCTGAATTACTAGCACTCAGTTTTGGTGCAACTTTGAGTTTATTTCTTCATTCACCCTAAGTGTCCAACATGAAGAATGAGTCTGCAGTCTTGCAGACGGAGAACTTAGTGGGAAAACTGAGTCATTACAGGGCACTCTGTAGTAAAGGTAGGCCAAGTTAAAAATAACTTATGACACAGGCAAAAAACACCCAGTTCATATCATTAGCAAATGTATTATACAGATTCCATCTTTGTAAGGACTAACTTGTGACAATTCATTAACAGACATTATAGAGTGAAAACAGGCTTCAACAATAACTGAATCATGTATTACAACCAATGAAAGTACATTTCAATGATGCCACAATGTCAACTTTATCTTCACATGACAAGAAAGTTTTGGAGAATTATCAAATGACACCTCATTAAAATTAGCATTGAAGGACTACTCAAAGATAATTGTGATTGAGCATAAGGTCTAATGATGATGAACAAGCAAAAAAAAAAAGTGCAAAGCCAGCAACAGCACTTGGTACGACATATTTACACAAAACAGGCTTCTTCTTTACTGTGTCAAAATACAGAAATATTGAACACACATCTAAGCCTGAGGAAGTATCTTTCTACTATTAAAATCCACTACTATAAAACTTACCTTCAAATTGTCAAAATCACATTAAATTAATATTTTGATTTCATTGTTTTAGTGTTTTTTTCATTAATTTTTAAAATTTTAGTTTAACAGTTGTTTAAAAGCTAGGAATAAATCAATTGAAATCAGCAATAAGAATCCATTAGTATTTTTCCCCTGTAAAAAGATACATACATGATTTGAAGGACAATGAACTACATGACCTCCAAGGATTTTCTAGCACAAAAATATGACCTAACTGAAATCCTACAACACATATATTAAAATAATGCCTTTGGTGAAAATGTGTTCCAAAAGTAGTAGTTAAAAATACAGGACCAAGAATTAATCAGCTTACATACATTCAAGTCAGTTACACAACATCTCGGTATTTTAGTATCCTCTTTAATATGGGGAGACTACTGAGTATTTAGCTCTTATGTGGCTGTAAAGGACTTAGTAAATAAACAGCTATAAAAGGTTCAGATCAGTGCCATGCAAAGAGTGAACATAATACATGGTGGCTATCTTTCCTCATTATTATGCCTACATGGCACACCATCTACGAAATTATATTCCACAAATATCGAGTTTTCTATAAATAATATTGTGCCTAAATCATAGTAACAGGTACTTACTTCTACTCCAAATAATACAACACTCCTGACTCCGGGAATCTCTGCTAATGCTGCTTCTACTTCTGGTAATACCATTGAAAACTTGGTCTTTGGAAGTACCAGTTTTACACCTGTTAAATCAATTTCTTGAACCGTGCTCCCAAGACCTTTAGGATACTGTTCTGTTACAATAACAGGTATTCCTAAAATCCGGGCCCCTTGCAACTGAAAAAAATAACCAAACACAAAAACAATTAGCTATACATATATATGTGTATATATGAGTATATATCATGATTCAGCAAATATGACCAAATAAACAAACAAGCATACCAGTCTTTGTCCCACACTAATAATATCCCCAAAATACTTGATGGCTGGTCTGAACCTTTCTTGCATATCACAGCAGAAAAACACAGTGCTTGAAGGTGTAAGATTTCCCAGGGTAGTGAGCTGAGGAGAAAAGAAAAAGAATGACTTAGCACTTGTTATACAATGACAATTATTTTCAGTGGAGGTCAATAAAGGAAGAAAAATGGTCCTATTGTTTGAGTCAGTAAGTGAATTTCTACAGCTATTATCCAAAAAAAAAAATCTGAATTACAGGAAAAAAAAAACCAAAAAGATGTTCTCTGAATTGCTTTTCATAGTGGAAATCAGAAATGAACCAACCAACAATACAGACATGGTGTAACACATTTTAACACATTCACATGACAAAACATTCTTTAGCCAATTAAAACATATATGTATATATGTCTTCAAAGAATTCATACCATCCAAGGAAAAATACTCATAATGTTAATTTTTCAAAAGTGAAGTTCAAAAGTATTTCAATAATGTAAAAATATGAATAAAAGTAGTAGTACATTACAATATTAACAAGTGGTTATATAATTAGGGGTGTTGGTAATTTCTTTTTTTTATATCATTCCTTTATTTTCCAAGTGTTATTTAAACAGATTTCCTGAATGTTATTTAAAGAAGTTTCTTTATAATCAGAAAAAGTGTTACAATAGAAAAAAATCTGATGTTGCTGCTTGTAAGTATAAAAAGTAAAACTTAAAATATTTGTAGCAGGAACATAAAAACTAAAAACAAAAAACAGAAGCAAATCCAGAATTACTGCTATCAAGATAGAAATATGCATATGCTATTCTCAAGAATAACTTTCAGAGTTCAAACAAAATGCAGCGAAATGATACTAAGCACACCATTGCTGTTAAATGAACTGTTGTCTACTTCACAAGGAAGGGACCCATATTTGACATCTCCATTCTTAAACTATAGTTATCACAATAAGGAAAGTCAATGAATTAAGACGAAAAGTGGATAGATTTCCAAACCTCGTATTAATTGCTGTAGTTGGTCTATAACAATTTGGGCTCAATATGGATCCACCAAAAAGCAAAAATCACCACTAAATATAAGAATTTACTCTCACTGGATTCTTAAAAGTCTGAGGTGCTTTTCTTTCTTTTGCAAATTGCAGGAAGTTCTGTAAAGGATGAGTACTGGTCCTGAATGAACCACTATCAACACCCTTCCTAACCGCTCCCTTAAATCATGCCTCTAATTATCCTATTTTGCTTCCCCTAAAACCACCTACAGATAACGATTATTAATAATATTCTAGAGGAGTCTGTGTCCAGATTATATGGTGTGGCTGCACCACCAGCACAGGCTTAGACTCTCCTTAGTGTCTCTGCAGGTGGTTGACTCTTCGGAAACAATTACTACATGAATTAAATTAACCATTAAGAAATATTTAATCCTTAATGATGTAACTATTCTAATTGGTTTGCACTTTGTTTGATCTATGTTCTGGTCTGAAGTACCCTGGCACTTTAATCTCCCTCTGGTACTGACTCTATAGATGTGTATTAATTAGCCATGCACAATCCAATACCAAATTCATGTTACCATGTGAGAGCCACCTGTAATTCTTACCCTATGTATAGGGTTTTCCTACTTTTCCAATAAAGTATGATTAAAATAAATTCTCAAGCATATTATATATTCTAGCTTTGGCTGTTTCTTTGCTTAATTTTTAATGCAAGTATTATGCCTCCACTTTGGTCATTTTCAAAAGCAGTGACTAGGATCTTACATATAAATATAAATGCATTGCTGGGAAGGCCAATTTTTGTGCATTTAGGATACTATTTTAAAAACCAATCACTAAATTATCTGTAAACATCAAATATTGACTCAAAAGGCTCAATATCTACATTTTTATAAATTTGAATAATGGACTCCTAAGCATCCACAACGTGTTTAGGGCACACTACATAAAGCAGTTTGCCTGCAGCAGGCCTATTGAAATAACCGTAATGCAACTAAGCCAGTCTCACCATGCCACAACAGGTGAGAACCAGCAAAAAAAAAAAAAAAAAAGTATGAAAAATAAAATTCCTGGGCAGTTGCGTAAGTGTGGTGGATGCCATTCACTAACATGCTTAGAGCTTACACTTGCTTAGAATTCCAGCTCTCAGATCCTATTTTATACTGTATTGACTACCTCTGTATACATTCCTAACAAGTTTCATTGTCTGGATTCTAAATTAACAGAAGGTTATAAACAGCAAATCAGAAAGGAAACCGCTGGAGGCAGGCAAACTGATAGCAGCAAGAAATGATGGCTGACAGAGAAAAGATTCAAAATACAATAAAAACAGATCAAAACTCAAATAATGCTACAGTCTAGACCTCCAGTGGAGGAGTAACAAGCTGTTCTAACTTATAAATTAGGAAAACATCATTCCAGCACCCTAATTAAGAAACTGTTAAATTATATATTTCAGAAGGACTACATTATAAAATGGTCAAGACATTTTTAAGTTGAGGTGTTTAAAGGAATAAATCCTTACCTACCCAGGAATCCTAAATATCCACAGTTGTGGTCTCCAGTTCTTGCTAGCTGATGTTTCCTGCCCTTCATTTTAGCCATGAGTTCTGGACAGGGGACCGCATCAGATGTGTCATATTAGACACAAATTGAGGTCAAAAATATAGCCCTAAAATCCTCACTGCCCTGCGAAATCTCTCTTGCATAGGAACTTACCATCCACAAACTCAGTAAACAAAGAAACCACAGAGAATACAGTGGCAAGGAATGTTTTTAAAGCAGAGTACAGGTTACAATTTACCAAATAAAAAATACCCTACCTTTCATAGACATTCTCCACATGCTCTTGAATACAATGTGGAGAGTATCTGTGTAAGGTGTTTAACTTCCAACATCCTCTTGAATGTGACTGCACTTAGTACTTTGCTTCTTAAGAGTAGAGTATAAAGGGGGAAGAGTAACTTTACAGTGGAGAGACCTGAGGACTATGTCTCAGCCAGGTGATCAAGATTAATGTAATTAATGACACCATGTTAATAACATGTACCCTTGATATGATGTGACGAGAATGAACCTCATGACCTTCCTCTTGAAATTTCACAACCCCGGTCCAACAATGAGAAAAACATCAAATGAATCAAAACTGAGGGACATTCTACCAAAATATCTGACCAGTGCTCCTTAAAACTGTCAAGGTTATTAAAAACAAAGTCTGAGAAACTGTTACAGACTAGACGAGTCAAAGGAGACAAGACAACTAAATGTAATTGGTATCCTAGATTGGATTTTGGAACAGAAAAAGGACATAAGGGAAAAGCTAGTGAAATATGAATAAAGTGTGGTTAACAGTAAAGTACCAATGTTGGTTCTTTGGTTGTGACAAATGCATTCCAGGAATATCAAATATTAATGTTAGGGAATCTGGCTGGGCATGGTGGCTCATGCTGGTAATCCCAGCACTTCGGAGGCCAAGGTGGGAGGATCGTTTAAGCCCAGGATTGCGAGAGCAAGGCCTAGGCAACACGGTGAGACCTTGTCTCTATAAAACATATTTTTTTGAGACACAGTCTCACTCTGTCGCTCAGGCTGGAGTGCGGTGGTGCGATCTCAGCTCACTGCAACCTCCACCTCCCGGTTCAAGTGATTCTTGTGCCTCAGCCTCCCAAGTGGCCAGGATTACAGGTGTGCGTCACTGCACCCAGCTGATTTTTGTACTGTTAGTAGAGATGGGGTTTCACCATATTGCCCAGGCTGGTCTTGAATTCCTGGGCTCAAGTGATCTGCCTGCCTTGGCATCCCAAAGTGCTGGGATTACAGGCATGAACCACTATACCCAACCTACAAAATATATATATATAATATATATATATATATTTTTTTTTTTCCTCTTTTCTTTCTTTTTTGATTAGCTGAGCTTGGCGGTCCAGCTCCTCAGGAGGCTGAACCTCTGAGATCCTCTGAGAATGGGAGGTTGAGGCTGCAGTCCAGCCTGGGCAACAGCGCAAGACCCTGTCTCACAAACAAGCAAAAACCAACAGGGAATCTGGGTACAGGAATATAGGAACTCTGTACTATCTTTACGACTTTATTGTTAATCTAAAGCTATTGTAAAATAAAAAGTGTTTTTTTTAATGGCCTCCCTATGCTATGGTAGTTGGGGGAATAACCTCTATACTTTACAAACAGAAAGGAAGTTTTGTGGCTACCAAAAACATACTGAAAAACTTTATTCATGTCCAACCAATCCTCCCAAATCCTCACCCCAAATCCACATGAATTCCAACAGGCTGTTAAAATCACACAACTCTCTACATTTCGGAAGTTTCTTACTTTGACTCATGAAGTTCTCTTAAACCAAAATCTTTAAAGTAACTAAAAATATCTCCAGTAGCCAAACTTTTACATGTTGCAACTGTGAGACAGTCAGTCCTGCCTCAGCAAATTAAAAGTGGACTGGACCAAATGTCACCAGGAGTAAAAGCATAGCAATTACAGATCTATGCATATTCAAGGAATATAAACAAATCACATATAAATATATGCCTACACACTCCGACAAACACATTTGCATGATACATATACAAATACATATATATATATATATATTTAAATACAAAAACATGATCACAGCCAATGGCTTCCTCAAGCAAGAGTTTAAGAGATCAGATTCAAGTATAAATATTTTGTCCACTTTCTTAAGAATTGTCATAGCTGGGATTTGACCTTAGATTTCATACTCAAAAGACCTTTCACATCACCCAGCCCCATAGCAAATTACTATAGCAATTTGGAATAATTAAAATTTGAAACTGTAAATGTGATGTTTAAAAAATTTGGTAGTCAATTAGAGTCACAAAATAGGCATGATCTGCCTGGGAGAAAGTCTGGAAGGGGACCTGGGGGATCATTATTTCACTCCCAAGTGTTTCTGAGGAAATCCGACGACCACAGCTATAGTAAGGCCTGGCTCCAATGTCAACTCACAATAGAGGTCTGTGATGTGACTCCCCCAGGTTACAATGATTCTCTTTATAGCAGAAGCCTCAGTAGGCATTAGAATCTGAATCCAAATCTCAATTTCACTAATTTCGATTACATGAACTTA